TATATATTTTTTTAAGTTGTATTGAGGGATGAAGTTGTCTCAGACTAAGTCGGCTCAGTTGTCCGAAAGGCATTTCTGTTGACAACAGATCCGTTACAATAACATAACAAAGGTCTATGTACACGACGACTGAACAAAGTGATTCTGGAGAAAGTCAGTCGATATTCAAACTCAACAACAAAAAGAAACACACCCTCCCATCACCCCTCCATCTTCTCTCATCTCTCCCTCCCACTGCTTCCTCCCCCACATGCCCACTCTTCTCTTCTTGTTTCCCTTGTACAATATATATATTAAGAAGGTCTGTCATGGTAGTTTAATTGTTAGCGCTGTCAAGTTAAAGACGGCTGGGGTTTCTTCCTGTGTCTTTCACCAGACCCTCAAAGGACAGCTAATAGGCTCTTAAGGAAGGCCAGGAAACTGAGTGGCGCTTCAGGCCGTTAAATGGCTACTGTCTGCCTGATGTCTGTGCCCCCTCCCCCTCCTCCACATTTTACAATGCCGACAGTTGTGCCCAGCAAATGAAGAAGAAGAGATCCTTTATTAATCCCTCAAGGGGAAATTCTTTTTTCACTCATTCTTTTTGTTTTACATGCATTTTAACCCCGCAGCACCACCATTCCATAGAGACAAACAAAGATATAATATTTAATATAAACTGACACAAAACAATCAAATATATGAAACAAAATATGAAACATAAGACACCAAGAGACGCAAAGCATCCACACTTTATACATTTAGCATTAAGAGCCTGAAAACTACCAGTGTAACTGAGCTCCTGCAGTTGTGAGTAGGACACGTGTCAGGACTGTTTATAAAAGATGGATGTAGTGCAATAATATACCTACTGTATTACTAGGTTACTGTGTGTGTGTATATACCTTGAGTGCACTGAATGCGAGTATAAATGATCGTCCATGTTCTCTTTGCACTGTAGGATCCGTTTGACTCATATTTGCACGTTCCATTTTTAAGTTGCTGTCTAGTCTTCTTCTTCATTCATATGTTCTACTCGGTTGCACTGTATGGCCTGTTTACATTTCCTTCCTGCATATCTTATCTGGCTGTGTGTGTGTGTGTGTGTGCGCGCTGCACTAATGTGAATGTAAATATTACTTTTGGGCTACTTTGGTGGTGGGTCAACTGTCCCTTCAAACACTTTCTGGAGCTACACCTTAATTTAGTTGTATGTTGTACAATGAGAATAAACTTTCTATTCTATTCTATTCAGGCTCCAAAAGAAGAAGCCTGTGTGGAAGAGCTTAAAGGTGCAATACCGCCGGAGATCCAGCGGGGGCCGGCTTCAACTGGCTCCAAAGACTGCAATTCAAAATCCCCATCTTTAATCTAGCGTGGTCTTTCAGTTCAAGCGCATGACTGGATCTATGTTTAGAATGCGCATTACTTTCCATCAGAGCCCTTCCCCTGCACTCAGATAGCTGCTGTTTGCACTTACATTTCCTCTGCTTCGGCTCAAACTGTGCGCTTGCACTCAGATATGTTGTTGCTCGCACTGATTTTCTGCGCTCCAGCTCCAGCTCCAGCTCCAGCTCTCCTCCTCACTCAGGCTGCTTTCTGTGCGCTGGTGAATCGTCTGCTCTCGGATTTGTCCTGTGCGCTCAGAATGTTATATAACATCCCCAACCAGCTCGATGTCAGGGGTCGTTCACGAAGTAAAGGTGGGCGGTTACTCTGAAGGGAAACGACGTCACTTAACTCAAAGGTTTAGCGGATCAAAGTCAAGGACCTCAAGTAAGTTTTTTTTAAATTCATTAACAATAATAATAATAATTTCATAACTGGATTAAACTTTTGAGTTAAGTGACGTCAAATGTACACATTTTTTTTACAAATATGCCAACTCAATCTTTAGGTGCAATAATCTCTGAATTGTTACATCCCAATGTATATTCTCTACTCTCATGTGCATAATCACTGTGAATTTTCAGGTATCTTTGTATATTGTTTACATTTTTCTTTATATCTATGAAGTTACTAGAATTTAAACTTAATGTCAAATCACTTAATGCAGACATTCAACTTGAACTAAGACTCATCTGATGTAATTACCAACATTATTATTTCGTCAGCAAAATAATGTTTCCAACTTACGACTGATCTTAATCAATCAATTAGATTTTTTTTTTTCATGAATCATGCATTTCATTAAGCGGCGGTAACACCTGACCTACTATACCTGCAGTTTACTCACACACGTCCAGGACAGTGAGCAGCTGCGTTCACCACCTGCTCATCCGGTGTTTTCATATTTCCTCCATCTCCAGTCTTCGCCCATCAACGACCCTCCTCTGCCTCCATCGCGTTGACTGGCGGCTGCAGGAGCCGCAGACAAAGACGCCTCTGGACGGCGGAGCTCGTTCAGACATTCAGTTGTCAGCAACAAAGCTAACACGCTGTTAGCTAACGATGATAACAGCGACCGCTTTAGCCGCGACATGCAAACAAAAGCAACACTCACACGTGAGGACGGGGCATCGCGTTTAGACGGAGGGGTGAAGGGGCGAGTGAGGCAGGTGGTGATGCCGGGAGAGAGGCTGCAGCGGCGGGGAGGGCAGCCAGCCCAGAGTCGGTGTCAGGAGGAGGAGGGCAGAGACGAGGGGGGCGGGGCCTGGAAATACAGAGGTCCGTCCCTGTCGCGCCCTCTGGTGGTCAGTCATTCAAAACGTAAGATGAACCCATGGACTGTTTATAAAGAGGATGAACCACAACACGTTCACTTTGTTGTTGTTGTTGTTCATTAAAGGTTCAGTGTGTAGACTTTAGTGATATCTGGTGGTGAAGTCTCATACACCCCTCAGCTCACCCTCTCATTCTTAACATGAAGAAGAACCTGTGGTAGCTTCAGTTTTCATAAAAACTCAAAAGGTGTTTAGTGTGTTCAGTCTGGACTAATGTAAAAAACATGGCGGCCTCCGTAGAGAGGAGCCACTCGATGTAAATATAAAGTATTTAAATATAAATGGGGTAAAGAAAACTGTAATTCATACAATTTAGATGAAACAAACTACTGAAAACATCATGAGGATTATTCTACATTAAATCTGACAATAGTTTCCTTTCACCTAAATCTTACACACTGGACATTTAAAGGGATGGTTCACAGCAACCGTGTCGTTTACTCCATGTTTTTGGCCTAAATGTCCGCTGTCGTCCTTTTAGTTACTGCTGCTAATTAACCAATATTCATCTTATATTCTTACTGCATAGAAACACTGAAGGGCTACATTATTGTGAAAAAATCTTTTATTTCATTAGGGCACACAACCAGAATGGGAACATGTTTACTTATAAATACTGGTCCTTTTACCATTACACATTTTGCAAACATATCACCGGCTGGTCAAACCCTGTATAAGTTAATAAATGGTTATAGAAGAGTTGTTAATGTTAATCAGATCTTAATTAACTGATTTCAATCCTTTTTCAGAAGATAAATGAACAAGTCTGAGGCCAGTGCAGGGATTAGAGAATATCAATTTGGACGTACCGGTCATTCCAGGTATTACTGGACCAAGTATCCTGGTCACTGGAGAGGGAAACACTTCCAGGATAAAACAAAAAGTCGGATTTTCCAGCTGAGCTAAAACATTTATAATGTTCAATTTATAAATTACTCTTATCACAAAAGATGAATCTCTTTGGCAATACACTTTCTTTACAGGACACAGTTTGACTTGTCACAGCTACAATCAATGTCATAAATGATGGATGGTGCTGCTTACTCTAATTTAAATCTGTTTTTAATATTTAGCTTTGCACACACAAGGATTCACTGAACAACTTGCAGATTTATTGTTCATTAAAATAATTGTTCACTGCAGCTCTGGGTTGTCATGTATTTCAAAATAATATGAAACAAAACAAATGTGTGGAAAATTCTAATTGCTTATTTATTTACATTTTTCTCATAGGTCAAACTGTGACATGCATGTTGTTGCTCAGGTATAGATTCATCTGTGGTTGGATGTGTGCTAAGTTTAAAACATCGGCTCCTCGTCCTATTTATTGCAGTTAATTAATAATTCAGTGGATATTGACAAAGTGAATGTGCCTGGTCTTTTCATACGAAGAGGGAAAAAACCTACTGACTGTATACGATTAAAAAACAGATATAAGTTACTTCTGAAGCTATCTCACAATCATTGTCTTCACACAAAGAGGAAAGTGTAACCGAAACAAGAGAACGAGAGGTGAAGTATAAAGCTCGGGTTACATTCACAGTAAAGTACTTGTTTTCAAGCCTGTGCTGGGTTCAGACTCCAGCGCACGGTTGTTTGAAAACTGGGTCAGATACCAAGATGAGTGCAGGTCACTCAGTGTCTATTTACACAGACTCACAAGTTCTGTAAAAGTGTCCACTGTCAAGACAGACTTCCATCCGTTCTTTGCACATCTGCTGCCCTCTGCTGGGTGGAGTCGGACTGTGCTGTTTTACCAGGTGAGAGCGGCGAGGAGGGCTGTGGTGTTGCTGTGCCTTCACTGATCACCTCCTCTGCCTCCTCCTCTCTCTGCTGCACAGAGGAGAGGTACTGCTCCAGTAGGCTGCAGTCTGCACTGTCCACGCCAGCGAAGCCGCTGCGAATGGGACTCATTGCTCGCACCGTCTTCAGGGAGTCTTCTGTCCCGCTGCTCAGGAAGCTGTCCTCCTGTGCGGCCTGCTGATTGCTCGTCGACTGGAAGCCAGAGTCTGGGAAGGAGACGTCTGTGCTGGGAGGATTCGTTGTGCTGGAGGCAACTGGGGGCGCAGCCTTACATAATCCAGGAGATGAGGTCTGATTCAGGGGGACAGCCTGAGCGATGTCAGCCAGCTGCTGCTGCACAGACGTCTTCCACTGCTGCATAGACTGGAGCTGCATGTTAAACACAAGAAAAGTTTAAAACTAATGGAAATCGCACAAGTTCAGAGAGTATTTCTAGAGATGATGTACGGCGTTAATAATGAATGAGGTGAAGTGAACGAGAAGGACATTTTAAAAATAGCCAACTTCAATCACTGACCTCTTTCCACAGAAACTTCACAGCCTCCTCCTGAACAAGTCTTTGGAATCGCTCTTCCTCATACTGCTTCTGCACACTGCGAACACATCCGTTTTACCTTTTAGTTCCATAAAGTCAATATTTACATGCAGTATAAGAAACCACTGTTGTGTCATAAATTAAACCTGAATGCGGTCACAGAAACTGTTTACTAATTCTGACCCTCAGTCAGTTACCTGTCCAGCTTCTCAGACAGGAACAGGATGTGTTCTTGCATCCTGCTCAGGCGGATTTCGCTGCGCACCTCTCTGGCCATAGGGTGACAACATCGAGTGTAATGTCCCCTCCACCAAGACTGTATTCTCACTGCCGCCCTCTCTGCTTCCATCAAACTGGATTTGCTGGGACACATACCAGCGTCTTCCTGCTTGGGGGCTTCTTTAATCTCTACTTTAACACAATCAGAGGTTGTTTCCAGGTCATTTTGTGCTGCGCTACCTCTGACCCCCGGTGAGAGAGCTGTTGCGGCTGCACCAGAAATAACTTCTTCTTCAGGAGTCTTCCTCTCTTGCGTATCCACAGGAGGCGAATTATATATCTTGTTTGTGTTGTGCTTTTTGAGCTGAGCTGGACACTTTGGGGCCAAGGAATCAGGTTCAAATGTCTCTGTCTCGTCCTCGCTGTCCGACTGGATTGTTTGTGACTCCACATCAGACATGAAGGGGAGATAGGTGGAGTCTGAGGAAAGCATGCTACCGTTGAGTTTATCCTCATCTGTGTGAACATCCTCCAAAGACATGTGCTCCTCTCTGAGCCTTGCGCTGCGAACTGTCGGCAGTGACGGGTGGGAAGAATCACAGCTCACCCAAGTGTTGAACTGCACAACTGGCTCTGGAGGTTAAACAAAAACTGCATAAATATACTTGTAAAAACAGTTGGTTTCCTGGAGACAAGCATAGTGTTAAGTCAAAACTCTCCCACCTGACTCTGAGACTGATGGAGCAACATCTGGTCCAGCTGCAGTGTTTCTCTCCACCTCTCTGGCTCCCTCCTGTGATGTGTCCACTGGAGGACTGTGCTTCTCCACATCAAGTTGAGTCGGACGAGGAGGACTGTGACCGCTCCCCTGCGTCTCCTCCATCAGCTGCCTTTGGTGAAACCTGAAAGAAAAAAAAACACGTCAGCAAAACAAAAGGTCGTTGCAGTAAATATTTCCCTTCATCAGATTTGCGGTGTTAAGAGTCTCTCTGTAAGATCAGATTTACAGAATACCTCTGTTTACTGAGGATCTTCTCTAGCTTGGCGTCTTCTGCCGTCTCCAAGGCGGGTGATGAGGTCAGAGGGCAAACATTGGTGAGGTACTGAACAAGCTGCACATGCTGACCCGGTCGATACGAACGTCCTTTTCCTTGACTGTAGAGCCACTCCGCTTTAAGACTGGAATTGTGACAATCACACACAATATATGAGAAATTCAAACATGTGGACACTCTCTGTTAATCCTAACAAAATGTGACAGCATAGACATGTACGCACCCTTCTTTTTGTGACACCACATAGCCATCCAGGACCTTTAAGTTCAGGCACCAACTCATGATATAAGGCCGATAGTCAAACCCCGGTAATGACGGGGTCGCCATAACACAAGGGTTGCTCATTATAGAGAGCTGCTCCAGTTCCTGCAGCGGTGACAGGTATGACACCTATGGAGCGAGAAATAAAAGAAAAAACAAAAACGTGTGACTGAATACAAGCGATTTCATATTTTAAATGAAGATCACTGATGCTGCAATCGAGTCGGAGAAATTGACCGTTACCTCATTGAGATCTCTTATCTCGTTTTCGGCCAGGGAGAGAATGGATAAATGGGCAGGTAGGTGGGCAGGAACAGTGCGAAGTGTTGTGATGCTATTTCCATGAAGTAAAAGTGTCTGGAAAATTGAAAAAATATTAATAATTACAAACTCAATAATAGTATTATTTTTTTTTCAAGCTTGTCTTTGACCTAAATGGCTGAAGCACCCACCTTTAATGCCACCAGTTTCGTCAGATCACCAATGGTTGATATGTTATTGTCAGACAGATCCAGGTGTTGAAGGGAAACACAGTTGGTGAGTTGTTCAATGACCTGTGTAAAAAGTGTTGGTTTGACATATTAACATCCGGCTGCCTGAGACCTAAGTAAATGTGTGAGCATCTCTCTTCGACTCACCTTAATATTGTTTCCAGACAGGTTGAGCCATTGGAGGTGAGGCAGACCTCTTAGCCCCTCGATATATCCAATACTGTTTTCAGGAAGGTTGAGGACTCTTAGCTCTGTCAGCCGAGACACACCCATCATTCTCACCAGACGGTTTCCTGCTACGGACAGCTGAAGTAGAAAAGAGCAGGAATTACCACAGGAGCTCCAATCAGTAAACTAGACAGTATTCAGATATGGAGACCCGTATGACTGTGCTATACTTCTGTTAAACAAAGAGTAAAAACAGTCAGTAACTACCTGCTGAAGGCCTGGGCTCCGCTCCAGATAGTCCAGTTTCATGATGTGGTTCCGGTCCAGGATGAGAGTGTGTGTGTCATCAGAGCAGGTGAAACTGGGATCCAGCTTCTGCATCCCCTGGGCAGTGAGATCCACCACGGGTCCTTGTGAGAGAAGAGATGGTGATGATTACACAGACTGGAAAACCACAACAACAACTGTGAGTTGATCATCACCATGACTACATAACACAATATCTTAAAGCAGCCATGCACATACACAGTATACACAGGGACAGACACTGAACTGGTTTAAAATCAGATCTTTACAATGGCTTCATGTCTGTGGAACAATGTACTTGTTGGTTTATTAAGCACTTCATAGTTTAGGGCTGTAATCCATTACTGATCTGCTGCTACATTATGAACAAACTAGACCTGGGAAGTTATCTGGGACAAGTCTGCTTTCTAAAACAAACAAACATGGAGAAGCAGCTCTCAGTTTTAAAGCTGCACACATGAGGAATAAGCTCCCACAGAACTGGGTGCTTGGTGCAGCTTGATTGAATTTAAGGACTGTGGGGCCTTAGCGAAGGTATGCAGTCAACTAAGTGCCATTCTTGTTACTCATTTCTTACACAGCATTGTTTCTTTCACTCTTTAATTTCTCCATTTACTTCTTTTTTCTTTAAGCAACTCTATTTTAAAAACATTTTCACATTGACACGTGTTTCTTTCACAATTGCCCATGATGCTTTTTATATTTCATGAACAGCATTAAGAAATGACTTGTTGTTATAATGTGCTATACAAACAAACTTTCCTTATCTATAGAGCAGTATGGAGAAAACACTTGTGCTATAGCTAGTGCTAGTTTTGGGTAATCACGTGCTAAATCATAGTAACATGACACGATCTTGTCTGCAGAACCATTGACATGTACTGTGTTGCTGTTGTTCAGCTGGACATGTGAAATACATGAAACGCGAAAATATGCATCGCTCCGATGTGAACATCCGCAGAACACACACCGGCAAACGAATAAGTTTTAAACCGAACATCGCTCCGAGTCTGACACGACGTGTTGTTTTGATGTGGATCTGCTGGACAAAGCTCACGGCATCACTGGGGCGAACCCCTCACGCTAGAGCTAACGTTAGCTAGTTATAGAAACACATCGGCTCCCTGGAAAAACAAACGCGACATAATCCAGTTCCTCTGCCGACAACGAACCACGAGACTCTTACCGGCATTGGTATCAAACTTTAAATCGGATACACCCATCCTGTGGTCCCGGACAAACACCCGCCGCCTGCTAACAACTGTTAGCCGCAGAGCAGCGCGAGAAACAAGAAGCGTCTGACACTTGTCAAAACGGCTAAACCAGGTGGCTCCTGGGAAATGTAGTCCACAGCGACTGTCTCGCTCGTTGCAGAGCGGCGTCTTATTGATGCGGAAAAACTACAACTGCGCTTGATTCCTGAAAACCGCCCGCCCGCTGGAATCATTTAAAATAAGCTCGTAAATTACGTTACCGACAAAAACACACAGACAGTTATGTTGAATATTTTCATTTCGTTCAATCTGTTCGGTCCATTAATTTATTAACGTGTTTTAAAGTAAGAAATTAACGCTTAGCCGGTCGATGCTACACTTGCTAGGTATTGACGTCACTGTGACGAACAGCTAAAGTACTAATGCGATTTATATATTTATTAAAATATTATTTTATGTGTTTTTACGACGCTCGAAATATTAATAAAATGCCAAGTAACAAAAATATTCGGTGTTTACTTCTGTATTATAATAAACTTTAACCCTCTCAATTCCGTTTCCGTATCCGCTATCTTTCTTTCCGGTTTTGTGCCCTCTCGTCGCCATCATGAAGTGAGTGAAGGGAAAACTATCAAATACCATCTTCACCTTCTAATAAACATTTTAACGACGCTACACACGTCAATGCTTCACATGTGTTCTATTCTTCAAGTGATGGTTTGTATTTGTCGTTTTCAGGGTCGAGTTGTGCAGTTTCAGTGGGTATAAGATTTACCCCGGCCATGGCCGCCGATACGCCAGGATAGACGGAAAGGTAACCACCGGTTTATCTCCGCACTGTCCGCAGATCTAACGAGAACCTTCGTGAAATCCTTGTTGTGATCGTCTCTGTGAACTCACGTGTGTAACTTAACTCTGGAGAGACCTGGTTATGTTGAAACTTGTGTAGCATGCTAACGTTAGCTGCTAGCGTCACTATGTAGCTAGCAAACAAGGTAACTCTGAACGCTCAGGTTTCCAGTGGCTTTGCTTTTTAACAGTTGTACAAAAGGCTCGTGTGAACAGAATCAAATGTCACAGCACGTTTTAGTTTTGTAGTTTGGTATCTAACATGTGGCCACAGTTCAGTTATCTGTCACAAGCATGTCAACTAATGTGCCTCATTAAATGTGTGTATCGCTTTCAGGAGTAACTTAAACATAAAACTAGTTTTCCATCTCTGAATGTCAGACTCTGTCCTTAATCACTTCCTGTGTGTATATTGTTATTGCTCACTATTTAACTTGATAATTTTGCTGCAATTTAAGTTGATCTCCCTCCTAGTGTCCTTAAAGGTGAAATTAAGAGTATTGTGTACAAATAACACTGCACGCTATTTCTCAACCTGTTAGGTCTTTCGTGTTTGCACTAACTTGTCCTGAAACATTCTGGACTGACGTCACTAAATGATCCAGATGATCTGTAGGTGACTGCAGGAGTGATCTTAAGACTCGTGTATCATAACAAGTTATTGATGCTGAGGTTATTGTCTTCATCTAGGTGTTCCAGTTCTTGAACGCCAAGTGTGAGTCTGCGTTCCTGGCCAAAAGGAACCCCCGACAGATCAACTGGACTGTGCTGTACAGACGCAAGCACAAGAAGGGACAGTCTGTAAGTAGCTGCCTGTGTGTGGATGAAGTGTTTCTGTTTTTGGGGGCTTTGACAGTTAGTGGGGAAAGGAGGACAGAGAATTGGGCATGACATGCAACAAAGGGCTGAAATCAAACCCGGGCGGCTGCAGAGGCATAGAGCCTTGTTATGGTCGAATTTAGGTTTTAGCCTAAATTGATATAGTGTCTGACACTAACGTAGCAGCCAGTATCCACTTTAGAAGTAGCATTTGTTGGTCAAGCAATATATTAGTTTTAGGTGCTGATATTTAGTTTATTGTGATATTGGCATCTGACTTGTTCTTGCACAATGATGTTCAGCTGGTCACACTGGTCCTTTACATTTATAATATGGGGTGAACACATTTCAAAGCTCTATTAACACACTATCACTGTAGATGGTTCATGTGGAATCAGTTCCACTCTACAGTTTGGCTGCAGGTGACTGGTGTGCACGGTGTCGGTCTGTGTTATGTGCTGTTGTCGGATTGCGTTTTGCAGTCTGGGCAACAGTGCTCACTCCACACCTACAGCCATAGAAAAACTGGAGATCATAGTACTGGTCCTTGACGTCTGTATTGACTTCTCACCATTGATCAGCCTCCAAATTCTCTGACATGCTACAATACGTAACACATGTAAGTGTAATATGTAAAATCTGATTTCTGCAGTGCATAATTTATTTTATAAAGACTGTGGAACTTTCATAGCCACCAATCATTCTAATTCAACAACATACTTCCTGTTTATTGACTAGTCAAAGTAGCAGCAAAGCCTGTGTGTAAGATTATCGACGTTCATGTGGAGTGTGAGGTATCACTTAACACAAATGGACTTTCTGATGGCGTCCCTCTCCTGTAGAGAGATGTGGACCAGGTTGTTATTAGATTGGACATGTTGCCACGTTCATCTGTAAAATAACTTGAGATTGTGATATTGGGCCACAAATAAGCATGGGTCTGTGCATGTATTTTAACAGGAAGAGGTGACCAAGAAGCGCACCCGGCGCGCAGTCAAATTCCAGAGGGCCATCACTGGGGCCTCCCTGGCTGAGATCATGGCCAAGAGAAACCAGAAGCCTGAGGTCCGTAAAGCCCAGAGGGAGCAGGCCATCAGGTACGACACAACACAAACTTTACATTGACTGATTTTAGTCTCTTTTTTCCCCCACTGATAATATGATAACTTGATTTCTCTTACTTCCCAATATTGCTAAACCCTGGAGTATAGGACTATATTCTGTCACCCTCATTACGATTAAAGTGGGAAATGTAGTACAATATTTTTCTAACACCTCTGCACATATTTCATTTGTTTATTTGCTGAAGACGATGGGTTATTTGGTCAATTTAATCTTTCTCCACTCATTTCCTGTCATAGTATAACATGACAGATAGACAAAAGGATTTTATTTCACCTACTTGTTTGCTAAAGTTTTTTTAAAATTATTTTCTCAGAGCTGCCAAGGAGGCCAAGAAGGTGAAGCAGGCAGCCAAGAAGCCCGCTGCCCCGAGTGCAAAGGTAAGATCTGCTGATTGGTTGCTTATTTGATCTGAGCTCAGTGAAATGGTTTTCATATGACTGAGTGTAGTTTTAATTTGTTTGCCACTTGAAGTAAATGAAAAATATTAACTGCCTGCTCGTCTTTAATCACTGGGTTATACAGCAAATTCATATTTTAATTGTATTATGTATTAAATGCATTTCTCCTTCCCCAGTCCACCACCAAGGCTGCACAGAAACCCAAGATCGCTAAGCCCATGAAGATCAGCGCACCCCGTGTTGGTGGAAAACGCTAAGCCTCACTCATCATTTATGGTTGTGAATAAAATTTTGTGGTAAACCATCATCTTTGTGCTTTTTTATTTGGAAGACATAGAATTGAAGATAGTGAAACTAAGAACCTTGTGTCACAAATATCTGTGGCCCTGCTGTTCAGGACGAGGAACGCTGCACCAGTGACGTGCCAAGTTCACAGACAGGATTTTGAGTGAATTCAGGTTCTAAAGGGAAACTAATTAAATACTCCTGTGTTTTAATATTTAATAAATGTAGATGGCTGTCCTCTCCTTTGTGCAATACAGACTCCCTGGCTCTCCTGATTAGATTAGATTAATGCCTATGGAGGTGTGCTGGGTCATGACTGTTTTCCAAATGCCTGCAGGCTGTGATACTTTCTTAACCTTAAATTCCTGCTAATCTTTTACAAAAATTCAGATGCATTGCCTGGAATTTAGTCCAGTGCTCAGGCTTCTTAAATTCTATAACTTGAATAAACTTATTAACCTAAGATTTAGAGTTATGTGTCCACTCAAATTCACCCTGAGGTGAATGTGGTGTGTTTTTGCTACTTGATCAACTACGCTGTCAGATAACAACTAAACTGGTGTTGAGGATGGAAGATCCTGACGTTTGTTGCTGTAATGCAGAGTTTGGGCACAAGGGAGTGATGATGTTCAGTTTGTGTTAAAAAGCTATAATCTCAGACACCTTCAAATTAAGTTCTGTTTAGTCTGTAATAAATATTTCTTTTCTGCTGCAGATATTAACATTAGTTGTAACCTTTTCACATTTTGGTCAGATGTTACACCACATTTTTAAAAACACTACTGCAAATAGCAAGATGCTTTAACTATCAGTGGGTATATATATTTTAGCAAAATACACATAAATGAATGTACTGAATTGTAGGCCTGCTCTGACTCACAGCTGAATCAAGGTCGTTGTTAAACTATGACACCAGCATTTAAAATCTTTGTTTTGGTAAATACTGCAGAGGCACTGCTCCAGGTGAGGTTTAAAAGAGCTGTATTGTTTACATTGGAAACAGTGGCTCACATGTCACACAGCCAGAGACACAAATAGAGACATTCAAAGCCTCCTGCATTAACTGCTCACTATTTCCACCATCGAAAGTCAACTCATCTTCCATTGTTTAAGAGCAGATTGTAATATATTACATATATTGTATAACTATAACGTGTCCATAACTTAGATCAACCGTAGGTGTTAAATAGGATTTATTAACATTGTAACGCTATTACAGAGCATTAATGATCAACCTTCAAAGTCCCATTTTTCTTACAGCAGATTAAGAAAAACTTGAAAGTGACAACACCAATTATTGCTCAAATCAACTGGGGGTATTCAGTGTAACTACAGTGGAAACATGTCAAAGAAAACCATTTTTTAATATATTTTCTAACAACGATGAGGCATCAAAAGTGAGGGTTTTAAAATCAAAGAGCCAGAGTTAACGTGTCAGTAACAGTTTTTACTGGTTCACTCCGTCATAACAATCAATAAAAAGCTGCACAGGTTAAATATGTGACATTGGTGTCAATATCAGAAAATAACAGCATCTTTCTATACAGTTTTGACTACAAGAGAAAAAACTAATCAAGTGATTCACAAATTAGGATTTTGCCGATGAGATGGAAGGAAATGTTACATGAAATACTGATTCAATCATCACTGAGGTACAAATGCTGCAACTTAACCAAATTATAAATTTATTATAATTATAAATAAGTAGTAGAAAAAACAACCCGATGGTGCCCTTCTTAATTTCATCTGGAAACATTCCTTCAATCATGTTCAACACAAATCCAAGAGTGAAGTTATATTTTTTTGGGAAATTATTGCATGAGGTACTGATTTGCTACACCTGAAAAACTGATGGAAAAAGCAAAACTTCTCAATTAGTGCATGATATATTCAGCATGAACTTAACGTACAATCATTCAACTTGTTGAACAAGTTGTACTTGTGCGCTGATGACCACCATTCTTGCGTGTTGACTACAGTTAAAAAAATTCTCGTCTTATTTCTTGTGGATTTTTTTTTTAAGACCCTGAGGAAAATAGAAACTTAAGGAAAGTGCACATTTCCAACAGGGACGACAGGCTTGATGTGGTAGAATCGTGGTTATGGCATGGATATAATGAAGAAGACATGAGATGATGGTGATGATGATGAGGGGGCAGGTCGGTGCCTGGTCTCAAGTCTCCCTTTGAGTCCACTGCGGGAACACACTCAGGATTCTGCAGCTTCTTTGGATTCTGCAGCTGCTTTAGCCTCTGCCTTCTTATCCTGCTCGTACCTGTGAGAGAAACAAATATGTACATTAAGATTAAACAATTCACCACCGGCTCCTTAAAGAGAAAGAAAAACATGCAAGCTGTAATGTTCCATGTGTTTTTGTAATTTGGTGGAAGGATGGGACATTGGCTAAGAAAGAGACAACTCAATTTTGACATGGATCCGGACAAAGGGGCGGATCCGGAACTTTATTTCCAATTCTCAAAATTGCGAGAGTGTGTGATGAGGACATTTTCACTAATTTCTCGGGGAATCTTTCGTGGATCCTAGAGGGAAAAATCAGGCATATTTAGAGAACTGATATCTATGATCTGTTGGGCTTTGGAGGACGTTTGAGCTCTACTGTCACAAATGTGTCAGTACAGTACACCCTCGATCCAGAAAGGTTCAACAAGCAAAGTGAAGGGTGGATTTTTGATATTGAGGTTCTATTGTCATGTATCTCGATATGTGACTGTGGAGATTTGTAAACATTTGTTTCGTTTTTTTCTGGCATTCAGAATTGTACACCGATTGTTTGAGCCCAGTTCTGTGGTGGAGATTCGTTAAATGTTGAAACTGGGAAATGAAGCACTTGTGTAAACTAATGTATGTTACATATTTACAACTTTTACTGTATCAGCAGCGATGCACTTACACATTAACCTGCTGCCGTGATTTCATATCAGCAATGAGCGAGGAACGCATATATAACAGCTACTGTTCACTTATCTTAGAATCCTAATTATTACAGACAGATGAAAACAAACCTCCAGATCCTGTAGAGCTGGGAGGCTCCTGCGCTGCCGACGAAGAAGTTGACAGCAAACAGGTTCCAGTTCTTGGGGATGATGACCAGTGAGTACCTGGACCAGATGAGCCCTGGTGGAGAAGAACAGCAGGTACAAGTGAAGGTTATGCACACTAATGGTAAACCAGCGGTCGCTCATGAGAACAGAGTCTATGTTTTGGCAAAGAAGTCGGGAGATAAGATTTGTTTAAAGAGACATATTGCAAAAGCATCAGACAACCTTCAGCACAGAGGAGTCAAAATCATAGACTGACAATTATGACATTTTCATGAAGAACTCCTGTTTTAAATATCCACACAAATCACTGATCCATATTTTCACAACTTCATACGTAGATGTCTTCAGCGTTATTTTTATATTATTTCCTATATTACGTGTAAAGTAAAAAAAATCTCTTCTCACCTGTGGCCGTCAGCACCGCAGACTGGGCGGGGCTGAGTTTGTCTGCTGGTCGAGTCATATCAGCCAAACCAGCTCCGACCAGACCCTGTAGAAAAGACACCACATTGTCCTTACTCCGTGAAATCTGGTGTGGATGGTTCTCTGCTGTATTAACAGTAAAACAACTCAAGACTGTTGGTGGCTGGTTAGACCTTTTGGTTCCCAACCTTGTTGTTGTGGCTCCCAAACAGGTTGTGAGATATTTCAAAACACAGGGAAGCATTTAAAATACAAAGTTGTGTTTATTAGGTCTTACTAAGTGTTCTGGATAACTCAGAGTTAAAGTAACACAGATTGTGGCTGCTACAAACAGATACAGTTTATGACAAGTAGACAAATCTTTATTCAAAAGTCAAACTCCAAAAAGGTTGGGAACCGTTGCTATAAAAGTTGTAATTAAAGTTAAAGTAGTGTGTGTGATGAATGCAATTACCCATTTAAACACTGGGGCCCAGAAGAAAACTGTTCTAGGACCTGGAATAAAACAGCACAAGAAATTGGAAATGTGAATTTCAAAAACATTTTGAAACAATGAACGTAACATTATGTGGTTTGATTATAAGGTTTTCTCTCAGAGGGAACTAGTCTCAGTAGACAATGTTTACATGGACACCAAGATTCTGAGATTAACCAGATTAAGACAATAATCACAAAAGGACACTGCCACGTAAACACTGTTTTCTGAATACCTCAACCTGAATAAGAATGAGAATGAGACATGTTTGAGTTTTAATCGTGTTATAACGTCCTGTAGCTGGAGTTTTCACAGCATTTTCAGGGTTCAAGAGTGAACAAGATGGAAAAACAACAAGAAGTTTTGCATATTTAAAATTAAAAGACTTGCTGATGCAGGTTAGAATTTTAAAATCCTGGCAGGGACGTTGTGAATGTAATGTGGCATGAGTCACAATCAGACAATGCTCTGGGAATTTGAAATGAATATTCTGTTAGTAACTCGTGTTAACATTTATGTCTTGTTCAGAATAAGGTCAATAATCAGGTTATTGGTGTCCATGTTGACGTAGTCAGTGTTTGTGATTGTCAGGCCGGAGATTCAGGGAAAGATGCTCAGACGTTTCAGTGTCCAAACCCACTGGGAGAAGCCACTGTGTTGTTTACTTTTAAACACAGGAAGGAAAAGTGTGAAAATGCGTAAAACCTGCTGCTGTGGTGGCCATTTACACATTTCTTTTGCACTTCAAAAACAAAAATCAATGATTAATCAAGAAAAGAATCGAGGGATTAATCAATAATGGTTAACTGCAGCGGAGCCCCACACAAGTTACCAGATCGCAATCATGTTGGTTTAAGCACGGCTTCAATTTTCGATTTGTTTTGAATGGCAGATCCTAATTACACAATCTGATAAGGTCATTTTAGGACAAAATGTTCCGAAGCAATAACACAGACTATCAAATCATGAGGCTGATAAGGAAACACTGGACAGCAACAAAAACACACCCAGCCATTGGAAAGTATGTCACCATTTGATCTGACATGACAATGAGCTTCACTGAGGTTTTTCTCCTCAGGTTAAGTTAAGGTAATCTTCCTGCCAGGCTTCTCTAATGGGTGAAAGGATTAGACACAACCCCTGACAGCCAGGAGTATCTATCTGACTGGCACTCACACCTCTCACTGCAGCACAGGAAGGAAAACTAGCTTTCAACCACATTCCTGACCGATGCTGCTGCTGAGCGTCGAGGAGGACGTGTGTCTCAGCAAATCATCACTGAGCGAGTTACCTTTTTGTCTCCGCCCCTTCGTACCTGTTGAGAAAGTCCTTGCTGTACCCTTGCACAGACCAAACACAAACCACACTGACCACAGTGACGCCTGCGACTCCTTAATCTCAGCACCTTCTAGTCAATATCAGAGTCACAGAGAGCATGTATGTGCAAACAAATGCTCAGTTTATTAGGTACGCCTCAGTGAAAACAAAGCAGTCTAATATAACTTTACTCTCAGTCGTTTGTTTAAACTCTTTTAAACGTCACTGTGAGGTCTCCTGACAGATTTCGGCTGAGAAATGTGACGACTAAATAAACCTTTGTGAAGGAGGGAGTTGTCAGGAAGCTGATAAACTTAATAATACCTGACACAAATTTGGGAATGCTACAATTTCAGACAACAACAATTAGTTGATGTGAAGATCCGCAGCTTTTCTCTTAGTTTTAATAAACTGTTTCAGAATAAACACACTTGAACAAAGCGGGACATCTGGAATTGTTTGGATATTTCTTTCACTGTTAAATGAGGAAACAGTTTTGACTGAGTTGCCAGTTTGTCACCCAGGCAGATTATTGTCTGGGGGAGGGGGAGCAGCAGAGTCAACATTATTAACACAGAGACCAGGAAGCTCAGGTATCAGGTGCAGGTACCTCTCCCCCTCCAGGATGAGGGGGAAGTCGAGTTAGTGCATCCACATCACCTCACCGGAGCTCCGCATCAGTCACCCACAATTACAAAACACACACCCAGCCTGCTCATCGGGAAGCTGGGGAGGGGGTCGGCTCTGCATTACCTGCCGGGTGGTTGTACAGGGGTCTCAGTTTGGCGGGCAGCATGTGCTCGATCCGGTCCATGATCCGGTGGTAGGAGGCTCTGAGTGCAGCCATGATCGTGGATGTTCACACGGAGAGAGGAGGGTAGTGAACCTAACTTGGAGCTAGCTCAGGCGGCTAGCTTGCTACGGGTCTTTCCTTTAGCAGCCGCTGGTTTTATCAAATGTCTTATCCGACAAATAGATAAGCGAGCGGCGGGTGAGTGAGAGTGAAGCGGTGGATGCTGCCGTCCTACTGTCGACCTTCGCCCGGTGCCTCTCTCACCAAGCTAGCGATGCTAACCGTCAGTAGCAGCTTCTTCTGACCGACACCGAGGTGACTTTCTGTGCGACGCAACCTACCGCGCGAGGGGCGGGGCTTTCAGCTTCCACTGTTCTCATTGGCCGGCCCGCTCAGAACCTCAAGATGATTGGTTGAGAAGGCAGCATTACTTTTTCGGCCCGGCGCATCCCAAGTGGGCGGGTCCAAATAAATCCTCTTCATAAAAAAATATGATCAGAAAGATATTTTTATATTTTAAGTGTGATTTTTTTTCTTTAAAACAGGAAACACTTGAATGTAATAATTAAATCTTTTTTTGTCATTAATTGTGTTGCAGAAGTTTTGATTTTAATGACAACATTTCTTCTACAAACAAATTTAGTTTTCATGTTTATTTTATTGCCCCTGTAAAATTACGCACATTTAAATATGATTTATAAACTCAGTTAAATATTTCAAAACGTCTAAAATCCAATCAACCATACACACGCGCAATATTCTACATTTAATAGTTTCCCTCCATGTAAGTGTTTAACGCCTAAATCTAAAATTGTAATCATATTTTGAGATTTCTGCATTAGTATAGCATAATAACTTATTTAGATTTTCTTTGAGATCAACACAGGGACCCCCAAAGGCTGAACTCTGGACAAGTCCTGAGTCCAACGCATTTACAATCAACCCCGAAGTAAATGTGCCCAAAAAATGTTCTAATCCATTTCTGAAGCAGAGAAAGTCGGTGATCCTGCAACGAGCCAGTGAATTTGATAAGAGATGTGAGATTCCAGAGCAGGGCCCTGATAGATTGACAGCATACTGTGTTTACAAGTTCATCTGTGACCACAGCACATAGACGTTTCTACATAGAAGTATTGGTCCTGCAGCCACTAACATTATGAGCAATGTTCAACCCATGAATGTAGGTTTTTATGTTTTGTACATTTTGTAATAAATGTCATGTTGAAACTAACATGCATGTGTTTCATTAAAGAGCAGACTTGAGTTGTTATAACTATCATCGTTATTATTATGTTTTTTGAAGGGTCGATCAGATTTCAGCTGGGGGCCAGTGCCCCCTGGCCAAGCCCCTGTGTCCGCCCCTGTGATAAACAAACAAACAAACAGAAGCAGATAGAAATCAAAGATCCTCCGTGTTCATGTGAATATTGAGCTTTTATTGTGGTGATAAAGTCAAACATGTCCCATGTAAGGTCGACTCCGCGCCTCACACCGCCCCTCCGACAGCTGCTCGGTGTGTTAAACCGAGCGCCTGTGTGTTTGTCTCGCGTTGTGTGGACACAGCTGACCGCTGTCTGCGAGCAGGAATAAACCAGGCTAGGCTAACAGCCCGGACAGTTAGCAGCCCACCGAGCGGGGGAACGGGTCGCACAAACCGAGCAGCACCGCGGAGACACCACCGCGGCGAGTCTTACTTCCACCCGACAATGCAAACACCGAGTGTCGCAGCTAGCTAACGTTAGCGCCGTCCCCGCGGACCATGGCAGAACCGAAGCGACGATAGAGACAAGGCGACATCGACAGGAAAGGGGTTAGCTTAGTTTCAATGTTATTGTCAATTAAAAGCACATTTGGTCACGATGTCCTGCTCGGGGAACCTGGTCTGGGATGTAAATAAACGCCTGATTGGATACAGCGAACCCAACACCATCAGGACCAACTACTTAGGTAAGAACAAAAGGAAGCTATGCGATGCTAACGGGGCAGCGGAGGAGGAGAGGAGGAGGAGAGAAGGAGAGGAGGAGGAGATGTGTTGTTGTGTGATCGTGTGAGGCAGAGGAGTCAGATGAAGTGACAGCTAAACTCAACATGGCCTCTGAGCTTCTCTTCTCATGTGTTGTTCTCATATCTGACAAGATGAAGAGCTGCTGCTGCTCTTCATCCCTCCACATGTAAATATAATGAAGTGCAGTCAAAGAAGACGTGTGAGAGTTCACAGCTGAAGCACCAGCACACATGGGATTATGTGTTATGTAGTCCAGCAGCACTGAAGCTCAACAACATTATATATATATGTGTGTGTGTGTGTGTCCTCTTTGAGAGATTACAGAACATTGCACACGAATTGCAGCATGCGTGCAATTTCCGTGCAATCACAGGATTTTGTGCAGATGGATAATGCAGAGCAGACCCCACCACACAATCTGAGAACACCCGTAAAAGGGCCAGAATTTTTTTTTTTAAAAACAATGCACAACAAAGAGTTCAGTTCAAAATGCTCACATCATTCATATATATATAAAATATAAACCAGTCATAAATGGCAGTGCTTTATATCTTTAGAAACCACTAGTGTTGAACTTGTCAGACAGGATGATGATGTGTTTAAATATTGACAATGATCATTTGACTTACAAGTACAAACAAGTTCATTTTCGACACACTGTGTTTCCTGAGGGATTAGTCGCCTCATGTTTGATTGTGGGAATGTCGCTGGGACGTGTGGTTTGAGTCTTGTGTCCAAACTAGTAACGATTGTTGTAACAGGACAGCACATCAGTAGGGTTGGACGACATGGTGAAACTTTATCAATCAAGATAAAAATGTTCATATATGTCAATATTGATCTTTATCTCAGTAAATAACGGGGGAAATAAGTAGGAACCTCAGAGAGAGGGATTTCTCTCCCGGGACAGAGAAGTGCAGCAGATGCCGCGTGTATGTAGTCAATGTATTTGAACTCCTCACTGTGCGTACACAATGCATAAGTGATTTATAGACACATATTTAACCTTTTTTTAATGTAATGATTTTAGTTTTCCAATATTTTATTTTTCAGTCCTACACATCAAACAATAAATGTGCAGAAGTAGCTGAAAAATGTATAATTACTGTGTATAATTATGATCCAGTTTCGTGTTTTTATTTCATGTCCTGCAGGTGATTGCATGAGGTAACACGGACTGTTGCTATAAAATGAACTGTCAGTCTGAGTTTTCCTGTTGATACATGTCCTCATTGAAGAGATGTAGGGAATAGATGTTGATGTAAGTCTCCGGGTTGGTCGCGAGGGAACAACATGTAAGAGGAGAGATGAGTGCAGAGGAAACAGAGGACTGGTCTCCTGGTGCAGGCAGAGAGGTTTTGAGGGCTCGTCTGCAGTTTGTCAAAAAGTCAGCACCCGACAGTGGTTGAATGAAGATTTACAAGCCTGCAGAGCTGGGGCAGGGGCCACTGAGGTTTAGTCACTGCTGCATTTAGCAGGACTGATACGGTTTGAGCTGTTATTGTGTGTGAGTAGAGGAGACATGCAGGGAGGTGTGGGTCAGAGCTCTTGTGGGTTATATTTAGCTCTAAGAAGGGGGTGGGGGGGTGGGGTAACAAGTAGTGGTCTATATTAATTTCCACCAGAGAAATGTCCGGAGGAAAATAACTGTGTTGCACATTTACATTTGGACTTTTCATGAACTTTAGAAATATTAAGGAGTTGTTGTTGTTGTCGTTGTTGGCATTGGCTGTTGTTCTACATGTTGACAAGGGAGTAAAAAAACTCTGTATCTGATCTATAGAATCATTTTTGAGATGATTAGGCCTCAACTTCAATTTGTATACATATTAATATTAGTCTACGTGATTGTGAGCTTGACTGCTTCTATACAGCACTGTGAAGTCAGGCTTTAACTGACTCTTCCACTGTCAGAGAACAATTCCTCCACTGCGTTTAAAACCTGCTGGTGCAGGTTGGGTATGTTCAGCCTCTGGTCTTAGCACAGACCTGTTTGCCCAATAGATCAGGCAACTCTCGCTGTAACTTGTGCAACTGCTTTACAAGACGTTTCGATTTATCATAAAAAAATGACAAATTACAGAAGCAGCTTGAAGGAAGGAAGTTTCTGCTGCTTCATCCTACTATTACTAACATATAAGAAAATAATCAGCAGATGAATCAATAATGATTTGCAACCCGAGAAAAATGAAAATTCCACCACAGTCTGTTAGTTAAACAGTTTGTGTTTATGTGCACTTATGTCCTGGTTTCAGAAAACCGAATAAAGCTTTATCCTGGATTTTAGAGCACTCCGATAGAAGACAGGAGTTTTCGACATGTCAAGACCTGATTTTCTTTTTTTGATTTAGAACTTGAGATGATGTGAAATCAAGACACAACACAGATGATCAGAGACCTAGGGACTGTTAGAATAAAGTCATGCTCCATGTAAACAGTTATGATCAAGACCAGGAGGAGTCTTGAAACAGAGCAACACATGGACTCTTGTGTTTGGATCCCACTGGTTTTCATTGTTACTGAGGATGAGGAATAACTTTTAATACCTTTTAAAGGAAAGTCTTTCAAAAAAAACACAAACAAGTGATTTGTAGTCCTTCATTCCTGCATCCTGCATGGATAGTCAGATTTGACAGCAGCATGATTTAGACAGATGGACGGACGGAGGAAAAATAAGATACTGAAACCTGACATTGTTTTACAAATTGCCTTTTTCTCTTTTCACAGGTAGAAGAGAATTTGTCCAGAGGCTTAAACTTGAAGCGACACTGAATGTACATGATGGCTGTGTAAGTGTTCACATTTTTCTATATCTATTCGTGGCGGGCCTTGTTTTATTTCCATGTGTCCTCAGCAGTTCCTTGGCCAGTTTGAGACCTCGGTGTCTGAACAGAGAGCAGATCTTTGACTCCGGGTCAGATGGTTAATGCCTCTTAGAAACCTGAAGCTGACATGTTAACAGTCACGCGTCCTGTTTCAATATCAGCACGGCCGTCTGTCCCAGCAAAACACCACAACAACAAACAACAACAACAAGCATACAAGGCCCTGGAGAGCAGCAGTTAATACCTGAGGAATATTTTTTTATTGCATGATACAAATATTTCAGATGCTTAATCTATATATAGACAAGCTGAGATATTCTATGTTAAAAGTAAGGGCTGTTAAAGGCAGGGAAATTAATGGAATCCTGCTGAAACAATTAGTCAATTAACAAATGACTTGAAGAGCAATAAAAATATTTTTTTTTAAATTGAACTATTTGTTTAAATGATGTGCATTTGCTGCTTTCTTGTTATATGCAGCAAAAATTTTGAAACAAATGGGTCTTTTTATTTTTCAGGCCCACATGCTGTAAATATTAATGTTAATCAGCGTTTTGGTAACACAGGTATATTAATCCAAATGAGTTTGCAGTTCAGAAGAAAAGATGATGCAGCAGCTTCTCCACAGGAAGTCATAAATTATAGAGACCGCACCAGTGGAGTATTAACTAAAAGGCAGAGGATGGATACTAAGAGCTGGATCTACTGATGCACCGTGGCCTGTCACTGCTGAATGTATAAACAGAGTGAAAAGAAGAAATAGAAGAGAAAGTTGGTCTCTGAATTCCTGCTGACTCATCGTGGGAAATTAATATTTGTACAATCCAATACTGAAACCACACAATATGTCACAAAGCTCAGATTCTGAAAACAAATGTAATTTTATCGCAGGATGTCCAGTTTGGGAGCCACATGGTTTATCCTCTATAAAATATCATGTGAAATGTGACGTCTTGAAACTGCTTGTTCCATATCAGTTATGAAAATCAGCGAATCCTCACGTCTGAGACGCTGGAATCATTAAAGAATAAATTGATAAATACTTCCAGTCTACTTGTAAACTGCATTTCTGTCTTGTCTTCATCCAAGTTGTTGTGTCTCCACAGGTCAACACAATATCCTGGAACGACACAGGCGAATACATCCTGTCAGGATCAGACGACACATTTTTGGTTATTACGAACCCATACAACAAAAAGGTAGGTCTTAA